GCGATGCTTTGCAAGTTTACTTCGCCCGATCACTGAGTTTCAGTGTATTTTAATTCGAAGCGTGATTTATTGAGCGGAAATATCCGAGAAATATCCGTTATCGATCTCGATGTTTGTTCGGATCTTCCGACATCTCGCATGAAACGGTTTGCCAAACGGTAAGCTATATTAAAAGGGGATCACACGCGCGTCCCGGGTGACGGGAGAGAGAGTCAGGGGGGGCGCGTAATTTCACGTAACGCAGAGATTTCGTAAGTCACGGCGACCGCGCACGGGGACAATAACAGCACGTGGTGTCAGTCCCGTCTGATCCCGCCAGACATCCGCAGCCGATCGATCATCTCCGCGGATCATCTCTCGCCGAATCCGCGCACGTGCTCGTGTCATTCCGCGGTTAGTGTCCAGTAGTGTCTGTAGCTACGGATCGTCGACACGTTTTACGATCGTTGACAACGAGGTAGTTGCGCTCATCAATCTCCATTCCTCGGTCTCGAGTGACCTTTTGACCGCGACAACGTCCATCCACTTAAATTGCACTTAATAATATTATTTATGTAATCAAAAGATGCGACGCACAACGATGGTTCGTTTCACTTGCTTCTTAAAAAATTCGAATTAATTAAATTAATTTTTTTGACGTGAAGATATTTTTTTAATTTAGATATGTTTTTAATCTAGATTGTCTGTAAATTGTCGAAAAATTATTTCATCGTCGAAAAATTATTTCACCAGGGAAATGTCTGTCTTCTTAGCAAATTGAAGAAGGAAACCGAGGAGATGTGCGTTACACGATCTTTGAAAATGAAACGCAACCGTTCTCTGGAGTGAGATTAAAGGTGTCGAGTCGGTCCAGAACGAAGTCGCGCTGGTTCTGCTCTAATTTGTGATTTATTTTTACCTCGTGGCACTAGCAAAGTTTAGAACACAACACACCGTGTGGCAGATTTAGCCGTATAATTTAGAGGCAACGATTATCGATAATGAGCGATAGAAATATATTTTTCATCGTAATAAAAATCTTTCTTCGCTCGTTTAGATTATCATCCGTCTTTTCCGCTTCTCTCTCATCACTCAAAATCCTTTCTTGTGACAAAATAATATTTGAAAAGATTTAATTAGGACTAATAAACAGAACAGTTTGAAGAACTGCAAGGGAATTATAAATCCAAGAATTCTTTTAAATTCTGTCTACCAGCATAATTTAAATCGCGATCATACATATATTATATGATTATATGGGATTGCCAGAAATTATTATTGCAAGAAATAAAATATTAGTTATATTTAATATTAATTTCCAGAAATTATTACTGTAAGAAACAAAATATTAGTTATATTTAATATTAATTTCCAGAAATTATTACTTTAAAAAAACAAAATATTAGTTATATTTAACATTAATTTCCATTTAATAATATCTGAGAAATATATTTAACATTAATTTTCATTTAATAATATCTGAGAATTTTTGAAAATTTGATAATAAAAATTGAAAGATGACGACCAATTAAAAAAAGATACTTGATCTTCATGAATTTATTTTTAGAATAATATACTTTGTTGTCCATTCTATACATTACAATATTCCATTAACGTTATCTTATTTATCGTTTTTCGCGTAGAGATTCGCGTGTGCGATTTTTTTAAAAACGCGTAAAAATGACGGACGTGATGAGACCTATCTCGCCAATTTCACCGATTCGTCTGGCGACGATTCGACGTCATGCACAATGGGAGCAATACGTTAGTAAGTATTGTTCAAGAACTTTCTCGTTAACCCTAATTTCCACAATGTCCACATGTCTTAAAACAACGTGTATAAAAAATATATTTAACTCGCCTTAGCAATTGTTCATTACTTATAAGTTATATCTATCTTTTTTAACTTATATCATTTTCTGTTGAATAAAAATTAGTTATATTAATTTTGTTACGATTTATAAAAATTATATTTATATTCTATTATATAAAATATTATTTAATATAAGAATTTTATTAATATTATTTAATATAAAAATTTTATTAATATTTTATATAATATATTATATAATATAAAAATTATATTTATAACGCATGTATATATTAATTATTTTCTATTTAATAAACGCAATAATTTTTAAAAAAATAGAGCTTTAGAAAAAATTCGGGACATTGGAAATTTTATTCGTGATAGAACTCGATGATATCTCTTCTATTCATCGATATCATTTTTGTCTCATTCATTCTTCCTAGTTCAGCGTAACCGCAATACGAGATAAGGCGAATCTTGGTGAGTAATTGAGATCGACAGGAATTTATATTGCGGCAATAAGGAGAAACGTGGTAGAATAGTTAACGTCACGACTTCATCCTCCTCTTCGCGGTTTACGCAAGGCACGCGCGTTTTACGCGCGATATCGACGTCGGACTCGCGGTATGAATCAGCCGTGCAAAATAGACCTCGATAAGCTCAGCCAGGCTCCATGCCAATGTTAAAGCACCATTCAGACGATTGCTCAACCTGCTCTCGCGGGATATACCGAGCAAAAAAGATTGCATTAGCGGAGCACACGCTGCGCTTGCGATACGCATGATGGATCTAAACACACAGATGGGAGTTTTATTTTTTCTTAAATAACGTAAATCCGGTTTTGAAAATAAATTTCGAGCGAAATGCGATTGTGCACTCCTCGATATTCTCTCGAGTTATATTGCTTGTATAATAAATATACACATGAGCTTGTTTGTGCAAAGTGATTCAAATATTTGCTGACATTTTTAATTAGAAAATATTCAAGATATGTGTACATTTAATCACAAGACTGATAGTTTTAGAGGAGAATATCGAGATTTTCTCGAATTATATTATTTGTATAATAAAGTTATACACATGAGCTTGTTTGTGCAAAGTGATTCAAATATTTACTGACATTTTTAATTAGAAAATATTCAAGATGTATTTAATCGCAAGACTAAGAATTTTAGGAGAGAATATCGAAATTCCCTCGAATTATATTACTTGTATAATAAAGTTATACACATGAGCCTGTTTGTCCAAAATGATTCAAATATTTACTGACATTTTTTTAATTAGAAAATAATCAAAATATGTGTATATTTAATCGCAAGACTGATAGTTTTAAGAGGAGAATATCGAGATTCTCTTTAGTTATATTACTTGTATAATAAAGTTATACATATGAGCTTGTTTGTGCAAAATGATTCAAATACTTACTGACATTTTTAATTATAAAATGTTCAAGATATGTATATGTTTAATCGCAAGACTGATAGTTTTAGGGAAAAATATGTTTTTCCATGTCAAAATTCTCTTATATTTATCAGGAACTGAGTGCTTTACGTCAGAGTTTGTGAGAAATGCACTTCATCATTCAACCTTCTCCTGCCATCTAGAATGTGTTTAGATCAACTGAATATACTATTGAATATTATTTGCTATCCTAGATTATTAAAGCGCTTAAAGCACTTTAAGCGATTAGTTTATTCAGCCACTTAATATGAAAGATTTCCTTGTATTTCATATTTTTTTGAAATTGCAACAAGTCGATGTTAAACGAACATGCTATATATGCATCATTAATAACTAAAATTTATAGAGAAATAATATTAAAACCTATTTTAATTCGAAGAAAGAAGATTTGCAAATCCCATAAATAGAAGAACACGATACAAATTGACTTAAATTTACTTCTAGCAACTAATTTCGTTGAGGTTTTTTTTTCCTTTTATTCTGACATCATAGTAGTGAAGTATGTGAATTGATAAACATGATTCACATTTCAAATTTTTAAGGAAGAAATTAATATATCCTACATATTTCATAATCATTGGATATCCTTTAATGATTCTTTGGTCAATTTGGAATCAATTTTTCCTCAGCGAGAAACTGAAAAAGATATTTACTTTTTATCTACTTTTTATTTTTTTATTTATTTTCCATTTATCTCTTTCCAGCCTTTAAATTATATTTCAATTAATAAATTATATTTAATACATTAAAATGAAAATTTTAAAATTACAATTATACAAAATATTAAATAATTAATTAAATTATATAAATTATATTAAATAATTAATATTCTAAAAAAATATAAATTTTATCTAAAATAAATCGAAAAATAGATTTGTTATTTATTTAGCGAAGTTTAATTTATGAAAAGTTCTTCCTCTGCAAACACTCATTAAACATTACTAATGCCTCGACATTTTCGCTGGAAAGGGACTGACTCGAAGTTGTGATTTTGGGACATCGCTTTGTACATTTCCTTCCTCCGTAGCCCAAAGTTTCCTCGAAGCCACTTATACCCGGTGCAATCGGCTTCCCCGTAATGAGTCGTCGTGAAACGAGTCACCTAGACTCGCGTTCGTTTCTTCTGAACACCGCAGCTTCCGTCCAACGTACGAGAATGCCCCACTATCGTCTTGCGCCTTATATGCCTGCCTTACGTTATTCCTTCTCCTCTCCAGGAGGAGGAGGCCGTTTCGCTCCTTCCTCCGGAGAGCTCGCGGTATCGCTTTCCCGCGAACTTCAATGACAATCAGTGCCGTGCCGTCGACGCTGATACGTCGTCGCTTCGTTGAACACGTGTCGTTAAGTCGGAGCAGTCGTTCGGGTGGTTGGCGAACTGGAAAAGAGTGCGAATCGTTGAAGGTGAATGCGACTTGGTTTACTGCCTCGAATCCCGCGACACACAGATGACGAAGAGGTGATAATAGCGGCGATAATAATTCCAGAAAACGTGTGTACATAATTGGCGCGACAGGCTGTATTCGCGATAAATTTGCAGAGATGATCAGAATGCTCGATAAGCTTCGTCTTTCTTATCGGAGCCAGTCTTTAACTGCGGTGTCGCAGCTCGCTTCGTCGATCTAATTTGTCGATTCTTAACGTGTAAATAATTAAAATAATTTCGAAGTCGAAATCGCGTTTGATTCTCAGAAGATTGACACTCGTGGGAAGGATTTCTCAATCATCATTTTTTTCTGATTCTTTTTTATAGTTACGTCGATTTCGCTCGAGGCAAAAATACTTAGAGATCGAGGATCGAGAATCCTCTCCCGCTGGCGGATTCGTTCTCTCGGTTGCGGACTTTCTCCGCATTTTTGCTGACCGAAACTCGCCGGAACTCGGCCTGAAACTCGCGCTCGCCTCTCTCGCGGGGTTCAACGTTCCTGAAATAGTGGGTGTGTCGCGTGTGCCTTTTTCGACTCTCTCGACGATGGAGACGACGCGATGCGCGTACGTATCCGAGGACGAGAACCTGTACCAGGTGTACAATCGTGAGAAAGCCACCAGTAATCTCGTTACTCTCGGTAAATGCACATTTCTTTCATTATTTAGGCTCGATCGAGCTAAGGTCGACGAAGCAACAAACGAATTAATTAGGGGAATATTATATGTATAGATATTTATTCTATAGATATAAGTTACTCATTTCTTTTAAAAAGAGGCTTTCTTTAATTTTTAGATTTTTTAATATTTTTAAAAATTGAGGTGAAATAAATCTTTCAAATCTTTTAATCGCATTACGTATATAAATGTGCGTGGAAAATCAATTATAACTAACAATTAGATTTTTTTAAAAATGCAAATCTGCAATGCAAAATTTTGCAGTCTTTCAATCTACGTAGCTGTCATCTACGTATTTGTCATGCAAATACAGTAATAAAAAATATGCATATTCGCTTTGCTTAATCTTCGGACTGGCAAAAATCCGTAGTAAATATTTAGTCTCAACTCTTCACACATCAACCAGTTTTTGTTCCTTTATTCTCCTCTCCGCATTTATTATCAGATATAATAAGACATATAATAATAGAATTATAAATAAGATATAATTTTTTTTTAAAATTTAATTTTTAAGAATTTTTTAGAGAAAGAAGAAAATTTAATTTTTAATAGGATTATAAATAAGATATAAAATTCTTACATTAAAATTTAATTTTTAAGAGATATAATAATAGAATTACAAATAAAATATAATTTTTCTCATATCTGTGTTATTTCCCGGATTTATTATCCTTTTTCTACACGTGAAATATATTTATATTAGCATGAGTTTCTTAATTAATTGCGTACATTTGTTCTCGTCAATTAATGGAGGGAGGGAGACCCTCTATATTTCGGTTTCAATAAATTCAATGTATCCCGACACACATGGCAATCAAGGAGCCAGTCAAGGACGCGGCAGCGACGCACGGTGTGATGTCATCGTAAAACAATGTCATGACATTTTCTTTTTTTACATATGCCAGCTTGAAATTAAATAAGTGATGCCTCGATTGGATCAATAACGGCGTATCAGTTGACTTTTGCGAAACTTACAAATAGCAGATGTTATTTTTACGTCACATATATTAGAATATATTAGGAAATATCTCGTAAATCGAAAATATCGCGATATATTAAAATAAATTAGGAAATATCTCGTAAGCTATTGATTCTTTCATAGTTTCACTCAATATTTATTTAATATTTTTTAATATTTAATATTTAATATTTAATATTTTTTAATATTTAATATTTTTTACACTCAATATTTTTATTCTACTTAAAAAATAGAGATAAATATTAAAATGTATGCTATAGGAAATGTCATAAAAAATACATGCTATAGGAAATTGCTCTTGCATTAATTGCACGCATAGCACAGATAACTTAGATCATAAAGTTAAGTGCTTCAATCTATACATACGATTAATTCCGTTGGGAAATAAGAAGTAATCGTTTTTACATATCCATCTCTTGCACGTGATAACGACGCGAGAAGGAATCAGTTACAGACGGATGTTTCCGTCTGTTTATCTCCGAGCGTTATATACAGAGTGCTCCCGAAATAGGGGAGATTCTTCGATAAATTTAGGGATGCGAGAAAAAAATCTCTCGTGTTTCCAACTTTTCTCGAAGTAGGGCAGAATCAATCGTCGCGAAGAAGGGTTCGGGAATTTTTAACGGGAATACTGATTGAACTTAAATGTGCTTTCAGATGCGCTGCTGGCCGACTTGCAGAACACCGTGTCGTCGGAGGGAAATCACGTCGGTGGAAATGCGACACCCGGTTACGGATCGCTGAACGGTGCGCGCACCCACACGACCACCGTCTACAGATCCTACGACAATCGAACCTCGCCGCTGCCGCCGCAATCGGTACGTCGATATGTCTATCGTTTATCTTAATTGGAGCACTAATGCATCTAGAAGAGGCCGCGCCTCTTCATTCCGTTCATTCGGCAAATTTAAATTTAGAAAACTATATATTATACCTCGCTGCAGTTAGTGTAGGTAGATTAGTCTACTACGATCTATAAAATCTCTTTTAATTAAAATTACTTTAATTAAAGATTAATGAAGGCATTCCTTCTTTTATCTCGTTCAATGGATTTAAAAATTCATATTCAACGGAAAAACGATTTTTTACAATTTGAATGTATCTTTTAAAATGATGATTAAATTATTATTTTGTGTCTAGACTGTCTTAATTAAATTTACACAAATATTCAATCAGGGTCTGTAAGGTCCTGTCAAAGTCAAGTAAGATTTGCGAAATCTATTGTCGTTTCCGACGATAAACAAAATCGCAAACGGGATAAATCGCGATGATTTATCGACGAAGTCGGAGAATTCATCGAGCTTGCTGAAGAAACCTTACTAAAGTCGTGGAGATAGTTTACTAGATGGAGCCAAGTGCCGGTAGCTCGATGACGATCGTTTAATTTTAAAATCATCACAAATTTTATTTGTAGTTTTACAACATATATAAACTGCAAAACATTCGACATGAAGAGTTTCATATATTTTTTGATACTTTTGTTTCAATTTATATAATATAATAATAATTATATATTATAATTATTATTATATATATTAAATATTAAATATTATATATAATAATTAAATATATGTGTTATATATATATATATATATATATATATATATATATTATATAAAATAAAGAAAACAGTCGGGAATATATTTTTAAACAAGATTATTGCTATAAAAGATGAGCTATCTATTATTACGTTAACATCTAGTAAATAATTTCATTCTTATCGACAACATATGAAACATATTTGTATATATTCTTCTTCAACATATTCTTCTTCTATATATTTGTTGTTTTACATAATATATTTTATTGTGTAGCAGTCTCTCCTTTTTCATTACACAGAATTAACTTTTTGGCACTAACGTCCGTTTCCAGTCTACAAAACGTCCCGAAATAGAGCAATTCGTCGTCATGGTCGCGAAAGCGTGACATAGGGAGAATCCGTAAATAAACCTCTTCGCCGACAGCATAATAACTGTCGATATGATATCTTGGCAAGATACAACGAGCTTTTCTTTTGAAATTTTTCGCATGCGGCTTGTTTTTATTTTCAAGCCACGAACGTCATCAGTATGAACGTTCATGATTTAAACAGAAATTTTGTAAATTTTTAAATTTTAAAATTTCTGGAATTTCTAATCCTAAAAGTATGTATATTTCTGAAAGGATAACCAGGTCTTTTTTTATATATTATCCCACGGTTGTGTCTTTAAAACATTATATTATTGAAATATAAAAGAGAAATAAATATATTTTTCATGATTTAAGCAAAGATTTTGTAAAATTAAATTTTAAAATTCCTGGAATTTTTAATTTTAAAAAGTATGTATATTTCTAAAAGAATAACACAGATCTTTTTTTATGGATCACGCACACGTCTTTAAAATTATATTATCGAAAGGAAGAGATATATTTTTCATGATTAAACAGAGATTTTTTTACTTAAACTTTAAAATTCCAGAATTGTTTAAACCTAATAAAAAGTATATTTCTGAAAAGGTATTCAGGTCTATTTTTTATAGATTATCACTTATATATCTTTAAAACATTATATTATTAAAATATAAGAGAAGAAAATATATTTTTCATGATTAAGCAGAGATTTTTTAAATTTAAATTTTAAAGTTCCTGGAATTTTTAATCCTAAAAAGTATGTTTATTTTTGAAAAGATATCCAGATCTTTTTTTTATGGATCGTACGCACGTCTTTAAAATTATATTATCGAAATATAAAAGAAAGAGATATATCTTTCATGATTAAACAGAAATTTTTTTTTAAATTTTAAAATTTATTTAAATTTTAAAATTCCTGAATTTTTTAAATCTAAAAAGTATATTTCTGAAAAGATAGGATCTTTTTTAATAGATTATCGCATGTACGTCTTTAAAACTTATATTATTGAAAATATAAAAGAAGCAAATATATTTTTAAAATTAAACATATATTTATAATTTTTTATTGGGAATCTATGTGCAAACATTTATTTTATCATTTTAGATTGTTTTGAAGACACATTAATATATCCCGACTCTTTGCGGAATAATAATTTAACCAAAAGACGCACTTCGAAGTTTCCTCGGAGCGTAAATTAACCACAATTGCTCTTGAATTTGTTTACACGCGGAGTTTACACGTGTTATAACCGTGAAAATAGAATGTTACGGAATAGAACGGACGTAATCTGCTTACGTTGTAAAAATTAATCTTCGCAGCTATTTGTAATTTTGGTGCGACAAACTCGCTATTTTTCGCGTTAACTTTTGATTGTTTTTAGAGGAAAAAAGAAGCTTTCCAGAGTCATAAAACACGTTCGAAAATATCGATGACGCAACAGCGATGCTAAAATTAGAATCAATATCGTGTCTAAAATTGACGCTCGAAGGAAGCATCACTACTAGGCGTAACATCGAACGTTTGTGGCAGACGGAATATTAGTCGGAAGAGAGTCTCGAATTACTTTCGTATTAGTTATTTTTTTTCTCTGGACGAAAAAGATGAAGATATAAGCACCACAAAGATCAGAACCTAATTTTTCTGCAACGAAATTAGTCAATAAAGAAAATTGATCACATCATAAAAACGAATGCAGAAAAATTAGCTCTTAATTGATAATAAAATTAGCTCTTAAGTGATAATAAAATTTAATAAAAATTTAATAAAAATTTAAATTATTCTAAATTTTAATTTTAATTTAATTTAACAAAAATTTAATAAAAAATAAAATAATTAAAAAACTATAAGTTTTTTTATATGGATTATAAATAATTTTTTCTAACTTAGAATTATGTATATTTTCCATTTTAAATATAAGAATAAGAGCCGCTTATTAAATTTAATAGGTATCGAATATATTCAATATCGTTTATTAAGAAAATCCTTACACAGCTTAAAAAGGTAAAAAAATTCAGAGACACGCGTGCTACCTGAAAGAATATTTTCCACGAGTCGCATAAAAGAGAATCGTGCAGGAAAAAAAGTTGCGTTTCCGAGTTTTCCACGACGGGAACACCTGTTACGTTCCCTGCCGAGTCTATCGATCCTCGCTCGGCCTAGGACAGCACGCTCTCTATTATTCATGCTTGTATTCGATTTATACTGCGACTGTAAAATACGCGGTTGAGCCAACTGCAACGTTCGCCATCGTGCCAATCACGTTAAATCGTATTTTTTCTTTTTTTTTCGCAACGAAAAGCGCCTCCGTTCACCTTCAATCCGATAATATCGCGACGTCAAGTTGCAATATTATGCATTCATACACTCAAAAATGCATGCTGATATATCTTTTTAATAGCTATATTCTTGTGTCTAAATATATCTTCCGTTGCGAGCGTTATGTCCACCTGAAAGTAGAATTCAAATACAGAGACGAGTCAATTTCAATATATTATATCTTGCAAAAAATCGAACGATAGAATTATTCAATCGTTTTAATCTTTTTTCATCTTCAATTAAGAAAAAAAGTTATCTTATTATTGTTAATCGGGAAACAAGTGAGTCATAAAAAATTAAAATTTTCTATAACGTTTGAGTGAAAGAAATTATGAATATATTAAAATATGTTTCAAACTTATAAATTACGAAGAAATTAATGTGAAAAAAATTTAATTAATTGTAGAGAGAGTATAAAACGATTTATTATTAAAATGATATATTTGATGAATCTTATAATCTATGAAACTTATTCGTTAATTTTATACCTACTTTGATTGGTATCATTACGTGGAATAATAGGGGAGAACGTCCTATGTTAGGTGAATGAACTTCTTAAATCTAACAGTATCATAAGTAAAGTTCAAATATGACAGTTGTTTCGATTTGTTTGCATTCAGATCTAAATTATTCAGACTGTGAAAATGATTCTCAAAGAACTAAATATTTATATAAAATTTTATATAAAATTGATATAAAAATTTATATAAAAATATTTATATAAATATAATTAAGATAAAAAAAGAAATAAAAACTTTAAGTTTATCGAGAAATTAATTATATATATATATATATATATATATATATATATATATATTAAAATTATTTAAATACACTACATATTTTTAAAACATGTTTAATTATTATATATTGTAACAATATCTGTAACAATATTTGTGTGCAACATTTAATTTTGAGAAAATATATTAATTTTACGAACCTTATGTACAGTAGAGAGCAAAAAGTTGCAGGCTTAAAAGTTAAACCGATTGTTTCACGATTTAATAAGTTACGAAATTTACAGCTGAAATTAACGATAGCTGCGTTTCTTAAATCGCATTTGTATAAGTTGCTTCGCTCCTATTATTCTTCTCGGAACGAGCCATTGTGACATCGATCTGTCGTCGTGTTTCTGCTGTAGTCGTCATTCTCGGATGCGAATCGGCATCGTACGACGCGATCCAGTTTCGCGGCTAGTCCGAGACCTATTTCCCCAACATTAACTGGGCGAAAATGAAGTTAACGAGCTTGTTTCGTGTTTATAACAAAAATATTCTTATTTAAGTTAAACATACAAAATTATACTGTACAAAATTTATCTTAAAAACTCTGTTTTTAACTATCACTTTAATAATAATAAAAATTATTTAATTTTCATTTATTGTCAATTTTTCCTTTGAAGCAGTTGATAATTATATATAAATTCGTTAGTTAATCAAGTCTTAGTTAAATTAATTAAAAATATGGTAAATTGCCCGATTAATTATTATTAATTTTAAATACGGTTAATTTGTAATTAATAGAAATATTATTAATTTAATTATTAATTTATTTATTAAATTATTAATTTATTACTTTATTATTTTAATTTCGTCAACAATTCTCTCGTTCGAAAATAATCCTGAATTTTATTATCTTAACACTGTCATTCGTTTCGACCAAAATGGCTGTCAATGTTAAATAACATCTTGAGTTATGAAGCATGTCGACAAGAGCATATGTTCCTTACCGGATTACCGCCAAGAGTGCCAAATCTCTGTCGAAGGTCGCGGATGTTAAAAGCTTTCCCTTTGATGCGCGAATTTAGCTCGTGTAAACGATTATATGCGCATGCATGGTTCCAGACATTCGCGCTGCAGTTACAAATATGCAACCCGTTGCATAAATTCGGATAAACGTCGTAACAACGCCAGCACGTGAGCGTGACAGATTGAGCTGTGCACACGCTGGGCGTGTGACATGTCCTGGATACGCAGAGTGTCCCAAATATCTTATTATATCCCTGGAAAGATATGAATAATTTATATTAAATATTTTAACGAATACTTATTATTGAATACTTATTATTTAATACGATAATTTGGAGAGATATCTCGATATATTGACGTCAAAAAATGATAATTACAGATTAATTGTTCAATATTTTAATTGTTCAACGTTTTATATTAAGTGAGATAGTATGATATAATCTTTATTTTATATTATACACAAAAAAGAAAAAAGATTACATATAAATTATAAATATTAAAAAGAATAAATACGTTTACTACTCATAAAAATAAACTGTTTTCTTCTTATTTATATGCAGGGAGAAATCTAGATGTTCATGACCGAAATTCCAGTATTTTGTGTTAGTCTGAAATAATATATTTTAATAATAAATTTTAATAATATATTTTGAAAATATATAAATTTTTTTAAATATAAATAATTATATATAAATATAAATATTTAGATATAAATAAAAATAAAGCTACATAAAGACAATTTTTTCGCACATAAAATTTAATTTTTTTTACATATACATATATGAAAATTATCATATAATTTTTCTAGAAGCATTTTGGATTACTTTTTAGGTATTTTTAGGTATTTTTTGCAACATTACATTTATTATTAATTTTTTGTCGATTTATGTTAAAATTGCTATACAAAAATTATCAGTGCGATTTTAATTTTTATTGTTAAATTATAAAAAGTCGAGATTTCCAATATGTCAAAGTATACTTAAAATATCTTAATACTCTAAAAAATTAAAAAATATTGCTCTGAAAAATTGCAGAAAGTACAAGAGCAAAATATATACGATAGTTTTTCGTTAAATTTTCAACGAAAATAAATTGACCGTATAGTCGAAGAAACTTCCACCGATTGTAAGCCATTCAATTGTGACAGTCACAAATGGCACAAAGATCTCGCAGAAAGATCCTGTAGACGCTTCTCCGCGTTAATAGTTATGTCGTCGCCGAAACTTCTCGCGCCGATACGTTTTGCTGATATGTTTCTGCTCTCCACGGATATTTTTAGGCTGACAACTCAGCATGTAACCTAGTTTCTATCCAGCAGGATGCGCCGTAATACTATTTTATTGCAAAAAAATAGTGCGTGGTAATCTGACGATAAATTTGGCCGCCCTTGCGTTTCTTTTTCAGAAATTCGACTATTAGCTATTTATCTATTATTTTTTTTACGAGTTATATGAAAAATTATTATTTTGAATCTATCAATAATTATGATAAATATGTTAAGAAATATAAATATATACAGAGCTGCATTAAATACTTCATGCTTTAATATAAATTATTTTTGAATATATTATTTGAATATATATTTTGAAAAATATTATTTTTTAAATTATAACTTTTTTTATTTGTTAGCTATAATAATTATTAATGATTAAAATCGCTATTGCGAATAGCCTCTGTAATGACTTATTTTCATATTAGCAACTTATTAGAAATGTATCAATCGCACTACATCTTTTATGCATTTTGCGCAGATCCTCTTCAAAAAATCATAAAATCCCAAATTTATGGATGATTGAGACTCACATTTGGCCATTGATTAGCATGACGTCAAGTATTAAATTTAATTTTGGTAAACAAGTCAGAGCGACTTCGTGCATGTCGCAGATTTCGTTGGAATATCTTTGGTTGTTAAAATGTGACATCTCTTCAATATTTTAATTTGAATATAAGTAGATGTTAAATAGTAAACATTATTATATACACATGTATATTTATACTTACATATATATATGTATATATATTTAATTTAATTAGAAATAATTTTACATATTTATATAAAATATATAGAAATTTCATAAATTAACTTTATTGTTTTTATAAAATTACAAAATTGTTACAAATATGTCAAAAAATATTTAAGTGGAATAAATAATGCAATTATCAATGTTCATCAATTTTGTTGACTTGTAGAGATAAGCGATATTTATTGTATATATTTTGTGAATAATATATTTATTATTTATCTAAACAGGAACGATTACGATCTTTTGGACATTTTTCCCGCGACTAAAATTGACTTTATCGAAACTAAAAAGACCACATTGCTCTTCTCGTCCTGAACGACAACGTTCCATACGCATAATGATTCTAATGACATCATGTTTCTAAATAATAATGTACTTTACGCAAACTTGGCAGGCCATCGCTTTTTGTCTATTAACAAGCCAAGAGCACCTGGTAGAAAATTGTGCAGCTGTCGTTCAAACCATCTTCGTATAATCCATTCATCTGAAGAAATCCTCATTAAGTTCTAATTTTTCCTTTAACTGCTTTCATTTTATTGTAACACTTACATTATATTATTTTATGATCAGATCAAGTATTAAAGAAATATCTACTATTAAGCTTGATCGTCGAACATGAAATTGAAATAATTCAATCGTCAAATAAAATTGAAATCAATTTTCACGTGATGGAAAATTAATAATAAATATGTAGATAAGAATATTAAATAGATTAGATAGAAATGATAAATTTTTTTACGATTTAAAATTATTAAATATTATATTAAAATTCATTTAAATAAGTAATAAAAAATTAATAGCGAAACCGGTGTCTTTGATGATGAATATATATAGTTTCACGAAGGAATCTTTGAAGTTAATGTTCATCGCGATTTTGCCCACATGTTATAGCCGACTTACCAGAACCGCGAGGCGATAGAGGAAACCATCAGTAAAACCGGAAGTGCGTCTTACACCCAGACGGGCACCGGGAGCAAGATGCCCTCCCTCAATAACAATCTTTCCGAGTTGGACACTCTCCTGCAAGATCTGAGCAATGCACGCTATAATGCCCACTTTCAGGAAAGAGGTTGGCTCTTTATCCAAATTTTTAAAATTCTATAAATTTTTTTTATATTGTTTCATATCCTGTAAAATTTTTTTATATTATTTTATAATCCCTTTTCAAGCGATCAATTTTGTCTTTTTAAATCTCTCGCCAAAAGTTTTATAAATCTGAAACAGTGAAAGCCTTTTCGCGAATGAAGTCTCAAAGACGCGAAGATAATCTTATTTATTTTACTTCAATTCGATACGACTTTGATAAATTTTTAACCCGATGAAAAAATATCGCGAATGCAGTAGATAAAATATTTGCTGAATAAAAATTTATGATAATAGGAGAATGCAATCTATAAGATAGAGATACTAGACATAATATTTTGAGACATTCTATATTTCTTTCAAACAGAATTAATTTAATTAATGTATTATCGAATCATTTTCGAGAAGGGTTAAAAATGATCTCGAGAGGAGCGATTTTTGTTAAACAAATGGCTTGATGATTATAGACAGTCGCGTGTCCACCACAGGGGTGAACGGGAGCGCAACCAGCCCCATGCTCCGTTCCCCGAGTAGTATGTCAGCCTCTCGACCCACCGTCGACTCGTTGCTCGAAGAACTAAGCACCGCAGTGCCTAATGGGTGAGCTTTCTGTTTGTGTGCGCAAATTAATCCTAAAACAGTGCAAGCTACAGATTAAGCAGTCTGCTTTCGAATGAACATCTAGCTCGCGATTTGCATGAATAATTTCGGGATTAAAATCATAGTGATTCCGACGAGTTTGGATGCTGTAGGCCAACTTCTCGTGCCCGTAGCGTGAAAAATCTTCAAGCTTTTATATCGAAGATTAATAGTCAATTGAATTTTCGGAATAACTCGCGTATTCGGTGTAAAACGGTAACTGTTGTCCCTCGAACAGAGACTATCCCGCCGATGGAAAGGTGAGGGTCACCATACAGGAGACGTCCACGGAGATACAGCCGGTCTATGACGGCTATCCCTCCAGTCAGCATGGCTCGCTGAGTCGAACCGAGGTTCAGAGGAATTATCCTAATGGTCATACCGCGAGTAACGCTACCAAGGAGCTGGATGATCTAATGGCTTCGCTTTCCGAATTCAAGGTATATAACTTAACCATAACTTAACCTATGTAACGCGACCCTTTCGGAGCGGTTGATGAAGACTATCTCACTTCCAATACTATATTTTTCTTTTATTCATGAAAGAAAAATAATGTGGCAATTTCCAAACTGATAGATTATTAAATATTATATAAGATTATAAAATGTGATTTTCTGGAAATCTTGATAAATATAAAGAGAAATATAAAAACGCGATATTGCCAAAGAAACTTGCAGGAATTAATAATTACAGAGAAGTCGAATAAAATCTTTTGTAGATTTTTTTTTGCATTTAATCGCATACCGAAAGGGTTAGTGTTACATCTCATCTTTCGTTGCTTCTTGTCTGTATTGTGTATATAACCGGATAACTGAAAGTAACATTGGCATAATTTGCACATTTTTAAACATTTATCTGTCGTGTTTTATTCCAATATATATAAAAAAATATAAGTAAATTAAAATTAAAAAAGATTAAAACTTAATTTTATCAGGAATTATAATTTTTATAGTAAAAATTAATAAAATTTCATTTAACTTTTGATGACAGGATGATGACAGGATGATGATTGAATGACCACAATTTTTTTGTTTGGAAAGCTTACTTTAAATGTATTTTTAAAAACATTAAATTTTTTTTTCAAATTATTTTATATTTCTTTTATAGTTATTTTATAGTTATTTTATATTTTTTTAAATATAGATTCTTAAGAAGCGATTTACAAATAATCTTTTCGTCCCTTCGAGAGTTTTATATAAACCATCCATTTCGAGACACCCTTTATGCGGACCTACATATAGTAATCATCGAAACAGATACAGACTGATCCCTGACTCTCTGTCATCGCTTTGATTTACCGCGGAATCGGAAAACACCAGGGCATTAAATCCACTCCTGCCCATTCTTGGCTCCCCACGTTACGAAAATAACCAACCTCATCACCGTCGCGCCCTCCCTCTTGTCCGCTCCTTTTTCTCCGCGTCACCAATTTTCCGCGGCCGTGGGAGAAGGGAGAACCACGAAGACGAAATCATAAAGAGGTGGGGCAGCAACGTGGGACGCGACGACGTTACCCGCCGAAACACCCGGAGCTTTCGGCCAGTCTGCAAGCTCGCCCGTGACGATCGACATCTCCTCACTTCTTATCTACCATCATCTCCGTGGGTCTTTGTTTCATTTCACTCAACATCTCGCGAATTCACGCCTTGACATCCTGTCTGATTCTTTTCTCTCACCTTGTTCGTCGAATCTCCGTTCGTGACATCCAACCTTGAACCATTTTTTCACCTTGACACACCTGTCCTGTTCTGCATACCAAACATAAAGATACACGTGACACAGAATTACGCGGGAAATTGTCATTGTCATACGAGTGTAATCCAGCCTTCCGAGAAATTAATTTTGAAAACTGAGAAAATTTTCCTCCTGATGTCTGCTATCCTTCGGTGATCCAGGATAATAGACATCGTCAAAGAAACGCTAAAAAATAATATTTTTCAAATTTTATTACTTTATTTTCTTATATAGGATTGAAGATCGAAATCAGTCTTGATTTCTTATCAAGATTGAATTTCGAAATCAGTCTTGATTTCTTATCTGATTTACACTCGACCCTACAATCCACGTGTCATTGCAGATCAACAGCGGTACCCATCAACATCAGACAGTAACCGACTCCCCGTACGCGAAGCCCAATAAGGCCACCAAGAGCTCGCAGAGCCCATTGCCCGGCGAGGGCCCGCAGACCCGCGTCCACATCACCGAGACCCATACGACTCATCTCTATCAACCAGGGGAGAGTCAGCCTCTTAAACAGAATCAGTTGGATTCTATGCTCGGTAATCTTCAGGCCGACATGAGCCGCCAAGGAGTCAACACTACTCAGAAGGGATGCTGCAGCGCCTGCGAGAAGCCCATCGTGGGCCAGGTAGCTGTCAGCTACATCATAGCTGATTCTTAAAAGCCAAACCCAGCAATTAAATATTCTTTCATTTTCTTTGACTTGATAACATTGTTGTTACACAGGTGATAACAGCGTTGGGCAAGACATGGCATCCGGAACATTTCACGTGTACCCACTGCAACCAGGAATTAGGCACGCGAAACTTCTTCGAGAGGGAGGGACATCCTTACTGTGAAACGGACTATCACAATTTGTTCTCACCTCGTTGCGCTTATTGCAACGGGCCCATTCTTGATGTAAGGATTTTAGAATCATTCTAGGAATTCTCTTGAGAAAAAAAATAATGGTGAATCCTATAGGTGCGACCGAGATAAGGAACGTTAATAGAGAAAGAGTAATAAAAAAAGACTCGATATAAATCCTCGTTCCTTCACATATCCTCGAACTTAATTTTCCATTGACGATTTCCCTTGACGTTCGTAGGATCAACTAGACAACGAGACAAATAAGTTTTTCAAGTTTGAATTCGTTCCTATGAATTTAATGTACTAATTCTTAACATTGAAATAACTGGAAAAATGGTTAATTCACCTGAAACTTTAATTCACTTGAAACATTGACTGGAATTTCTTTTTCTAGATCATGCCGATTATGATACAGACAAAGAAAGAAGAGAAAATTAATTAATCATTGTTCAGTCCAAACGCGAACAAATTTATACTAAAACGTTTAACAACCTATATTTGATAATCTACTTTTTTTCTCAAGTCTTCCAATTATTTCGTTATACAAATTCGCAATTGCACAAAAGAGATTTTTTTCAGAAATGCGTGACTGCTCTGGAGAAGACCTGGCATACCGAGCATTTCTTCTGCGCTCAATGCGGCAAGCAGTTTGGCGAAGAGGGCTTCCACGAGCGAGACGGCAAGCCTTATTGCCGCGAGGATTACTTTGACATGTTTGCTCCTAAATGCGGCGGCTGTAATCGCGCCATTATGGAGAATTACATATCTGCACTCAACAGCCAATGGCATCCAGATTGTTTCGTCTGCAGGGTAGGTAACACGTTCGTACAGATGATCGATCTTATATCACAAAGTTTTACTTTCAGCACAAATTTTACGAGAGCTCATCGGTGTTTCCCTCCCCTCTTCATGCGTAGCTTAGAAAATGCGAAAGACACACCACTAAAATCTGACAATTACAGGATTGCAAGAAGCCGGTTTCTGGAAAGTCCTTCTACGCGATGGAAGGACAACCGGTGTGTCCCAAATGCGTCGGAGTAGATGACGACGAGGAAGAAGAAGAGCAGGAGGCGTAAAAAAATCTCATCGTCGTCATCATTGTCGTCATCATCGTCTTATCAATTTGTCCCAGAAGATTTCTTTGTTACCCTATCGTCCAGCTACCCTTTGCAATTATATCGCCCCTTGTATGCCCTCCGGCTCTATAAATGCGGAGCCAATACCCTGCTGATCCTTCGACAGATAATTTAGCTGGCGCTGGAGGAAGACTGGGAACGAGAAATGCCGATTATGAATCACCGTCGTCTTGATTCCGCGTTGCAAACACACACAGACAACACAGCATATCTCTCACACTTTACATTCTTATATTACGGGGCATACTCTCGGCAAGCAAGCTCAAAGTTTAAGATTATTGTTTTCGACAAGCTTTGACATTATGTCGCAGTTCTTGAATGAAAAGGAATTTTCTCGAGCTGCGCAAAGATACTGTTAGTACTATATGTCAGAAGTAAAGAAATAAATTTCCCTCACCCACTCATTCCCACCCCCTCCCCTAAAAAAAAGAAAACAACCCCAAAATGAAAAGACACACACGAGAGTCGGCTGTCTCGCACACATGTATACATACAGCTACTCGAAGACGTTGCACAAAGCGTGTCTTGTGGCAACATATGTGAGGAAGAGCCTAGCTGAATGCTACAAGGTCGCAGATGCATATTTACATTCCTTAAAACGTTATAGTGATAACAGATGAATCGATTTGATATTAAAACTCGTTTTTCGAAAAGTAAAATTATTAATTTGATTTAATATTAAATAATTTAATAATTAATTAAATAATTTAAATAATTAAAATAATTTATTTTTTTGAATCTATTTTTAGATGACTGAATATAATACAATGTGAATACAAAATAATTGTATACTTTATTATTTAATTCAAGTTTATAAAATTAATTGGAGCAAATTATGGAAAAATGTATAAATTAGAAATCTGATTCATCTGATAATACTATACATTTTTCGGCCATCTATGGATAAAAAAAAAGTTATAATTGACAATTGATGAATATGATTTTGTTAATGTTTCTTTGCCATATTAAATTCGACACGAAACTTTTTGTCGTCTAAGATTTGTGATTTTAAAGAGCTGTGATATTAAAGATAATGTGATACGTAATATACATATGCTGCAGTACATATAATATATACAAAATAATTTTAATGATTTTGTTGTCTATCTTTCTCTTGTAATTTTTGAACACCTATAAATAATATATATGTGTGTGTGTATATATATATATATATATATTTTTTTTTTTTTTTTTTTTTTCAAAAATTAGAAAAGTGATAACTGTGATGAATTTATATATGTATATAAATAATTAATAACAACCTTATATATATATATATATATATATATATATATATATATATAATTAATAACAAAGTGGACATATATAGAGTACCTGGAAAATTTTATTGGTATATTATTTTTTTACATTTAATCTATTTAATATAAAAGGAAATAATTGAAACAATAATTATATTAAACATTAAAATTTAACTTAAATTTGAAGCGAAAAGAAGTAGAAGACGGAAGGATATAATATTATATTTGATATCTGAAAATAAAGATTTTTAATTTTGAGAAAAATTTAAATTATTGAAAACTGTGTTGAATGAAGGATGTTGATTAAATTTTTCATGGAAATTTTAGCACTATAATTAGTTTAAATTAAAATATTAAATATATATATATTCTGTCTGTGAATATATTAAGTGCTCTCTGTAAAGTTGCTCAAAGAATGCTTTTGCAAACTCGGTCGGCGTCCACATTTTTTAATACTTGCTTCACCATTATTTCTGAACAATTAGATTTTTTAACAGGTTCTTCTGTGACGCAAAATTATATACAATCCCTGCGGGACACATCTCGCAGAAAGCACTTAATATATTTGTATATAATTTTATAAACATTTTCCCATCATATAATAAGTTGTATATTCATCTTTTACATATAATAATAATGAATTATATTTTTTTCTAGGTAAAATTTTCAAAATTTATCGTTAAAATTATATTCTTTTGTATGTTAAAATTTTTCATACAATATTCTCAGATGCATTTACTTTTTTAATTTGCAGGATTGTAGACAGAAGTTTCAGGGAGGTTCATTCTTCGATCATGAGGGATTACCGTATTGCGAGACACACTACCACGCCAAGAGAGGATCGTTATGCGCAGGATGTCACAAGCCCATTACTGGTAAATACAGAACTTTTCTATCTATAATTTAAAATCTTTGAATGACATATGAAGTCTTGATAATTTTTTCTTTTTTTTCATTTATAGGTCGCTGCATAACGGCAATGTTCCGCAAATTCCATCCTGAGCACTTCGTATGCGCGTTTTGCTTGAAGCAGTTGAACAAGGGTACGTTCAAGGAGCAAAACGATAAGCCTTACTGCCACGGTTGCTTCGAGAAACTCTTTGGATAAATGATTTCTCCTTTTTTCTCTCCCTCTTTCACGGATCATATATTTTGTAACATAATAACGAAATAAGAAACAATTTCGTCTTCGATGCCGTTTTACTATTTTCTCAACGAAATATATATATATATATATATATACACACGATATATATTTACTTGCTTTGATCGTCTATATAAAAGCATTAGAGACGAGACACATTGCCTAAAAAATAGCCTTTTTAGAGTTTCCATTTTTTATAAATATTGACCTTTAGACGAATCTAATCGAAGGAATTTGTGAATAGAATTTCAACTATTGAAGATTATAGTAAAATATATGTATAATTTAATACGTGACATTATTATTCCGTCACAATTGCCATTTTTAATAAAATTGACGAATTTAGATTTTAATTTCCTTCTTTAGGCAAAAAGAAATTGTTATATATCTGAAAAGAGTAAGTGGATAAAATTTTATTGTTTAATAAAACATAAAATTTAAGAGAAATTTACAAGGAAATTGTGAGAAAATTTTCTTTCTCTCCATGAAATGGAGGTTCTTATGAAAAATCGAATTGTCTAAGAATTAATAGATTTGCTAGAATATAATTCTCTATAATTCTTATAAATCTTTATATAATTTTACATAACAGATTGCGTTTCTTTAACTGCACAAGTTTGAGTCATCATGTTGTTTAAGGATTAATGAGGAGGGTGCTATACAGTTTATATTGTTACTAATAATTTGTATCGAAATAGCGTTTAATAGTGTCTATATGTATACGATGTAGTTGTTTGAGCAGGTATTTGTACGACAAGCGAACTTTCGCCACCAAATATTTCCCTGATGAAAGTTCTTCCCACGCACGCGCGCATTAGATTTCGTATATTTATAAATATTTAAATAGAAACAGATTATAGGATCAACGTTTAATAAATATTACCGCGCAAATAGTATTACACAAGTTTACTTACGTCCGCTATATCGAATTACACATACACATATATATTGCCATGTAAAGAAATAATCGAAAAAATTATACGAAGATAGCATGTGTACGAAGTGAATGGTATAAGCGTGACGCTTCAACACAGAACAAGGATTGAAAATAAATACATATGAGATAGTTAATTCTTCGAAGTTTATTTAGTATCCTGCGACACAGCGACAGATCGAGAATTAAACATATATGCTTAATATATAATAAATATATACATTTTGGTAAGTAAATTTTTCGAATAAACATTTGTGTATGTATAAAAAAATTGTTGCTAGAATATATAGAGTGCTATTTAAATCCACGCTGTAATATCGAATAAATTAAGAAAAATCTATCTATTCATAAATATATACAAAAAAATATATATGTATATATATATAACATTTTACGATTAATGTGCACACATCATCAGAATTAATTTTACATTATAAGAAATTTAGTACATTATCAAGTAATTCTTGGACATCATTAATGTGTATTGTGTTATTATTTGCGCTGCGTAAGAGTTTATTTCCTAGAATCATACAAAGAGAGAGCTATTATCTTAACAAGAGAAGCTAGAAAACTTGTTTAAATAACTTTTTTAAAAAATAGTTATTAATGATTTGCTAATCTCCCTTGTTAGAGTTATAATTTTAATAATGCAGAAAATATTTGAGATAATTATAATTAACGCTGATGCAAACATGAGATAATTATAATTAAAATATTTGAGATAATTATAATTAACGCTGATGCAAACATAAATTCTCTTATGTCACATACTCTTTTAAGAATTTGCAAAATATTTACAAAATCAATAGTTTCTTTCTCATAACAGTATCTATCCTGTGTAAAACACTTATTACAAATTAAACTGCTCAACATTAATGAAAAAAAATGTATATATGCAGTCTAGTCGAAGCTCGTGAATTTTTATTCAAATGGACGATGGATTTGTTCAGCGTATTATGAGCGAAACTCTTTCTTTTCTTTCTTTTGTGTCTAATAAATACATGTGTATCAGCCTCGCGATGCTCTTCTGAAGCTTCCCGTATCACAGATACAACGATCTGGCATCGATCTAGCGCTCAGCGCCTCAACGCGACGTGCGGTAGATCGCCTCCGCGAGAACTGTCAGGCCAACATGGGGAATAACTCGGTGAAACTCTCGTGCCAGGGATCGGCCAAGGCATTGTTGGACAGTCGTGGATCCGGAGAATCATGCGATTCGTACCCGCCATCCGACAGGTTGGCGTAATCCAATTTGGTCGAGGAGACACCGCAACTATCCGCGTCCGAGTGAACGTCGCTCATCGCGGGTGACATAGTATCGGTGTAAGCCGGCGAGAATTGCACCGGATAGCCGAGATGTGTAGATAAGGAGGGAACGGTGAGGTGCGTGGCAACATTAGTATCGCAGCTGCCGACGTTTTCGGTACTGATCACTTCCTGCACGCATTCTTGAATGCCCACGCAACCATCACTCTCCTCGCCTGGATAAATGATTGTGATGGAGTTGGTGGCCTCGTCATAAGTGCCATAAACAGTGTCAAGATCAGGTGTTGGTTCGGATTCCTGTTTGATTTCGATCTCTTCCTTGATCGGTGCTGTGCTCTCTGTGTCGCGGACAATAGTGTGCCAATCGGATGTATCCGGTAGGTAGGAGACGTTGTTCATGCTTTCGCGGACTCGATCGGCTTCCACATCTTCTGATGCCTGCCCCACCATTGTTTCCGAACGGTCAGATTTTTTAATAGGTTCTTCTGTGACGCACATCTGCGGAACAAAAGTTTGACAGATTATTAATAATGGGGCAACGACTGAATCATGGGAGAGAACGTGATTGCAGAGTAAATGAATGAAACATTCGGATATTTTCTAAGAATCAAGATTGTATTTACATTAGAATTTCGTTCTATCTCGGAGTATTTCATCCATCTCTGCATTATATTTCGATGACTGAAAAAAGATTAAAAAGAAATAAAAACAACTAGTTTATGCTTATTCAAAATTTCAAGAAGCATGCATTTAAAATTAATAAAAAATAATTAATTAAAGAATTAACCCTTAGCTGGCACATGGGGTCTAAAGTACCCCAGAGTATTTTTGAACGCAAATTTTTCATAGTTACGCGCCGAATTGGGGTTTGTGGCGTCATCTGGTATTAGTCGAAACTTGACCCATGATGTTTCTGCTATAACGGTCTTTTAGTCGAGCGTTACCTGCCGTAGAGAGCGCGCCGAAAATCAGCTGGGGTCCAAAGTACCCCGGTGTGTCAATAGTGTTGTTTTGAGTGAATTTTTGTGGAAAAAAAATTGTTCGTTTTTTTAGTTTGTTATCGTATTTTGAATCTGGATCAATCGAATTTACTGGAAGATGAAAGGCCGGTACTCGAACGTAAAGCTAGATGCACAATATGTACGCGACAATCAGACAAAAAGACGAAAATGCAGTGTCCTTCTTGTTTACGACCAATGTGCGATGAACATCGTCATTATTTGTGCGTTGAATGTGCAGGCTGTGAATGATTTTTTTTTTTTTTTTAATGTATATTATTATACTTTTTTTATTGCCTACCGTAATGCAATCTTTTTTTGTACAATTATTATCATAAATGATTTTTTTTTTAATAATAAATAGTGATTAACAACCAGTATACGTGTTTCATTTTTTCCTCCTATTTTTCGCTAGTTTTTTCTCAAAATAAATATGTTTTTTGGAAAATCGGTTATTGGAATTGATTCTATCATAAAAAGTAGTATTTCACAAGTTTACTGTTAAAATTTCATTCAAAAATATTAATATTTAAAAAAATTACAAGATTTTTAGTAAAATTTGTTAATTTACATATTTTTTTATGCATTTTATTTTTTAAAAAATTTTATAAATAATTTCGGGTTTTATAAACTGTTTAATATTTCAGCAAAGACCTCAAAGAACATGTATAAAAATTTTCAAGTGAAAATATTAATAAATTAAAGAAATATGCACATTTTTTCTCACTGGGGTCCAAAATACCCCATATAGCAGATATGTTATTATTTTGACGTGTGTCAGCTAAGGGTTAAAGATTGTTAGTGTCTCTACACTTAAAAAAAAATTATATTATCTTATGTAACCAGAAATATATGAACAAAAATAATGATAGTTGATGAAAAAAGATATAGTGTGTGAATAGTGTATATCTCTTCATGTGCGTACGATGCAACCAAGTCTGAGCGATTCCTAAAACTCACTTGCTCATCTGTTCTATGAAGATTTGCTTCCACTCCGCTGGTAACTTCTCGCATAAGACTTGCGGCCAGTTCTTCAAGTCGCTCGAAGGATCCTTCGCTCTGGAGATCGTTAAACAGCTCCTCGAGAGTAGGTAGAAGGTCAGGATCTTCAACAGGGCGGTTGCTCCTGGGGTTAGTGTCGGGCACGGTGCCGGCTGTGCTGACCCACCCTGCGGCAGAGGGTAATCAGGGGATACTGCAGATCCTTGCAAAGGTGCAGCGCAGCCGACACGAGCCTGGCACGCGGAGCAGTACTGTTGTTGCTGATCTCCGGTTGCGGATCTCATGTCCCTCTCTCTCCTGAGCCTCTTCGACTCTGTCAACAATGACTCGTTCTGTGATCTCAACATCGTGCATTCCTGCACGAGCTGTTCGTTCGTCTCTCTCAGCGTTTTCACCGTTTCCTCCAGTTCATCCAATCTGGCTTTCTTGCGATCCCGCGAAGTCTGAGCCGCCACTCGATTCTTCAGTTTTCTGTCGAACACAAGAGAGATCATTATTAGATATATCATAATTTATATATCATAATTTTTTTATTATATAAAACTAAAGAATAATAATTTATTTGTAAATGAAATATAAATTTTATCTTATAATAAATCGGTGAATTATTTGAACAAATTTAGGATAAAAAATGAAAAAAATTAATGTACCATTTCTTTTTATTGTTTCACAAAAATTCTGAAACTGTAAACATCGAATTAAAAGAATATGTTTTCCACTGACGATAATGTAATATAATTTCTTATTTGATTATTGATATTTTTTTTCGATCGATACCTCAGGAATTATTCATAATTATTCATAATGATAAGGAAAAATGAAATGAAATTGTCATGATTGCGCCGATATAATCGGGATAAAATTTATGACTACTACTACAGTAACTCATTATTCTCAAGATTATAATTAATTACTTCGTGAAAATTATGCAAACGCATTTACGTCAAGGTGGACGATTACATTCAACACGCGAGGAATATTTTGCAAAAATTTTCTATAATTTTCTATTTGCAAAAAATAATTTCACGTATTTTGAAATATTATCGTTCTTTCCCAGGTAGCAAGATGACGTCTAAAAACGTCTTAAAGACGCCATTTAGACGTCATCTTGCTACCTGGGTTATCTATATCTTATATTGTCAGTTCTGAAAATAAATTTTGAGGATTGGCTAATAAACATGAGGCTTATCTACAAGCTGATTAAAGAAATATGTATCATATTTGCATGTGTAAATGAATGTTAAAAATGAGACTTTCCGGTTTATATCACGAGCTTCGATATCGAAAAAAACACGCAGATAAGCGTCTGGTTTTAAGCGATAAGGAAAGCTGATACAATTCAGTGGATATATTGGTTGAAACAGTTTCTAGAACTCATCAAGAGACATTTAATAACATTCATTAATTGATTGAAAATTAATGTAATGTGAATTTTTTATGTAATTTTATATTATCATTTTTATGACACATGTGTGCTTTATCTTTATTGTAAATCGCGTTAGCCATTAAATGTACATATACAGATGTAAATGGGAAAATAATATAAGTAAAATCTGGATATAATAATAATTCGTTGAGAAAAATAAATAAAAGAAATTCAAGATTAAATATTTCAGATTAAATCATTCAGATTAAAAATTCTAATCAATTCAGTTTAAATATTTAATTCTCGGATATTTTTTTCGTTTATATGTATGTAATATGTAATATTTTTTTATATAAATAAATAAATATATATATATATATATATATAATTTATATATAATATAATAAATATTATTATATATATTATGTTAGATATTATATAGATATATAGTATATATTAGATTATTTGATAGCTATGAAAATTGTTTGCTGCATCATCGTGAATAATATATTTCAATAGAAACAATGAACATGTAAATAGATACGAATAATGTATTTCAATAGAAACAATGAACATGTAAATAGATACGAATAATGTATTTCAATAGAAACAATGACATCATTCAATAGAAACATGTAAATAGATACGCATGAATTGGCAAACGCGTGTCGTTCGACGAAACGAAATGACGTTAGACTTCGTGAAATTCATGGACGGGAATTGACTTGCTAGTTGACCTGCATTGATTTCGCTTACTTTCGTTGTAGTTTCTCTTCCCAAGTTAAGTGGTCCAGACGACGCTTCTTGCCGCGGACGCAGGCATCCGCGGTTTTGATGAATGTCGTGAAGTCGTCATCCGGGTGCATCTCTTCCTGCTTGGGGGAAACCTGAAGAATCTTCCTGGCGTCCATCCTCGCCTTGTCTGTCAGAATCGACGTCGTGAAATTCAATCTGGGTAACGCGCCGCGGGTCAATTCGTTCACTTGGCCTGCCTTAGGATTGGATAATCCCTTAGGAAAGGCAATAATGACGCTCTTCGGGGAGCTCATAATCCGCCATACGACATAAAAATCTCTTTCCTTTTTGTTCCGCTAATGTTCTCGGTGACGACTTTTCTTGAGAGTATTATGTGATAAAATATCAGGATTCCAATTGTCACCTCTCTATCCAGCACCGTATCACTGTTCGACGTCGACTGACTGTCCTTGGCACCGAACGCATAAACACACCCTCACTCCTTCGACTGACGCAACAAACTGACGCGATGAGCAAGCGTTCGCGTGTTCTCGGTTACGCTCGACTGACTCCGTCAGGCGGACGTGGAGCGCGGCGATTGGTCGGCCCGCAAGGGGCCGCGAACCTATCATTGGCGGGCCATCGCGGTCAACAGCTGACGCGAACTCCTTCTCTCCTTTACGTCATTACGAGCCGCGGATTCTCAAACCTTGGATCTTATCGTTTCTTTTGAGAGTTTCTAGAAAGAGATTCGCGCGATAATTTTAATCATTTCCGCGAAATATTGCTATTGACAGTGTGACACAAAATTAAGTATTTTGATTATGACAATAATGAGATGCCTTTGAGAAAAAAATAAATATTTTTAGATTGTTGATTTATTGAAGTTTTACGGATATCCTGTTTGAGAATCCCTGTCTTAAGTGCTTCTATTCTGCATGTTTTATTTCTTTATCCAGTTGCGTACTTCCTGCTTCTTTTATACAATGTAATAATTGATTGATATTGGCATAATGCTCGTATGTTGCATCAGACTTGTTCTGACGCACTAAAAATGACTAAGATAAAGATGACTCTCTATGTTTAACTTATAATTAACATATAAAAATGATAAGGAAGAAAATGTAAAATAATGACATAATATATTTTTCGGATGCAATTTTTTTTAACTTAAAGCACTTATAATATAAAAGTATTTAAAAATACTGATTTTTAGAGAAAGAGAGAAATGGAATTTTTCAATTTTGACTGATAATGAGAATTATTTAGGATTGATTTTATTCGATTTATTCGATTGAGAAAGTTTAAAGACCAAACGTGTAATACTATGTCCATTACCTTAACTTTAGCTATGAAAAGACATAGTACTTGTGTACAGTGCTATTGTATTAAAATCCTTGAAATTTCAATTTACCTTTGTTGATCATGTCTTTTGTTCATCATTGGCTTTGTTATCCTAGTATTTTTCCGAATGTTAAAGCTGACAAGATACTAATACAGTTCTGGGATTGGTTTAAAACATCTAAAATTGTATTTAAGATGGTTTTAAATATATAAGAACGGATTATGAATATATTGTTCTAAGAATTAAATTTTTACAAACTATGAAATAAATTTCTCATTTATCAATGATTGATAAGTTATCAATCACTGATAAATAAGAAATTTATCGATATTGATTTCATAGTTTGTAATTATATAATTAATAGTTAGGCAGCTAGTAATATGAAAATTGTAAAATTATTCATCCTTTATTCATATTCATCTAATATTTTTATACCATACTGACTTTTGAGAATTTAATTTTCGCAAAGTAATTATCATATTCTAAATTTATGGAATCATGATTTATGGAATTTTAATTAATGCAGCATCAGAAATTAATTACCTCTACATTTATTCTTCTATTTTACAATTCTTAAATATAAAAAACTTAATTCTTTTTCCATCTTTTAAAAATTATCAAATTAAAAACAGTTAAGGAATTCTTAAAAATTTCTGCCATTTGCTGATTATGATTCTTTCAATACTTTTCTAATTTTTTGACAGTTAAAGTTAAATTTCCTAATCCACAAATTGCCAAATATATAAATTCCTCGCCGGAATCGCATTTCTTTTAATTCGTGTCACTGCTTTGCTGATTATATTCTTTCGATAATTTGCTAATTTTTCAAAGCATAAATATTTACAGTTGAAATTAAAATTTTTGGAATTAGAATTTGGAAGAAAAAAATAATTTATTTTTATTAATTAGAAACATCATTTATTTACCTTCATATCCATATTATACCAGCGATCTATTCAACTCTGTTACAATGTGGTTAGACTTGTATGTAAAATATGTTAAAATATTAAAATAATATAATTACATAATAAAAAAAATATATGTATACATTTTCGTAATAATAATAGATATAGCGGTAATAATCATAGCGGTAAACATAGTAATATTCATATATATAATATTAATTGATTATATACGTCGAGCAATTATATAGTACAGTACAGTTGCGATAACCGATAACCTCTGATAAAGTTTAGAAATTATAACAGTAACAATAATCAGCAATGATAACGACAAAAGCATGTCAATATCATAACCGATATTCGATGCTGAAGAAGCAGCAACGACCACAGCATGTTATGCTCGTCAATTTTAAAAGGATGAAAAAACCGATAACCGATATTCTAGCATGTTATTTTATTATGGTTTCATTGGCAAAGTATTCGCGAAGCAAAATTTATAGGAATGTTAAAATTAAATTATACGAAAAATCCATAAAAAAAGGTGCTCCATAAAAATGCTTTTGCTTTGTAATTTTAACAGATTGCATTAAAAATGAAAATAATGCTGGAAAGTTCTTTTTTTTAATCTTGAAGCGATATAATAGTCGATTATTAGTTTTCACATTCGACATTATGGCTTCCAACTTAATACTTTTATTAGTGTCGAATCCCCTATTATTATTATTAATCAAATTAATAATATACAATTTTGCATGCGCATCAATGCGCGTAAATGCACTTGTTTATATACAATTTTTAGAAAAGACAGGTCGAGCCATTGAAGGCTATAACATTTTCATTCCTTTCCAATTAAAAATATATAAACAATTTTTCCGCTTTTATTTTATTTTCAAAAGTGGGAGTATTTTTATTCCAAATCTATGGATCCATGAACACATTAAAGTTCGATTATTAATATTGCTATTAGATATTATCTTAATTATTATATCCCTTATATTTTTATGATGATTACGTATATGATAATTATTACATGTTTTGAATGTGATTTTGTTGAAAATAATTAAAAATAAAATCGAACAAAAATTTGCTATAAGTATCACTATTTGTATATGCTAGAATATATTTTTCTAAAATGTTGAGTTTTTTTTAATTTACAAACGATTTCTTTTCAGATAATATTTAACGATATATTTTAATATAATATACAGTCGAGAAGATTTATATAGACTGATATAGAGGGAAAACACACATGACGGGAGCAAATATTTGTACGTGCAAATTCCACTTTTATATGAAACGATTTTATAAAAACAATATAGCCTTCTCGACTCGACTTGATTGTGTAAGATATGGTTCGCATTTTTTACAATGAACGTCAGTTTTTTACAACGAAGCGTCATCTTTTAACTTTCAAACTTAATTCGCTACGCAGTTCGAGCGCAGTTCGATTAATTCCCATACCAATTTGTTTCATACTAATTCGTGAAAGTCTATTGGCATACTTGGCCAATTGGCACATACTTTGCGTTCGCTCATAAATTTTACAATAAAAGAATGTAAAAAGAGCATCGATCAAACGTTAAAGTGACGCGAATCGAATTCGCTATTTAAAACATCACATTTTAAAAAATTTGCTCTAAAAATATCAATTAAATCTGAATCTAAGCTCATCGAATCGCGCCATCTTTACATTAATTGGACATATTTTTTAAATATTCGATGCGCTTCGTTTTTCTGATCATCTCCTGATGCATAGCAAAAAAGTAGCGCTATTTACAAGTAAAAATTAGAAGCAAGATTTTTGTGAAATTTACCAAGGCGTAATATTTCAATCATACTCTAATATTTTTCTCCGTTATTTCTATGTTTATTGTTAATGTATTTTGGTTCTAAGTGACTAAAATGGAATATGTTGCACCCTATAAAATAACTAAATGATGAACAGGATTAATCTTCAATTTTCTATCTATTGAAAGAACTATATTAAAGCAGAAATATCTTTCAAATAATATTTTGAAACGATTTTTCCTGTCTATGAAGGAAGCAGCTTTCAATTTTGGATGCAACATATCCCACGTTAACAAAAAGAAATCATTTCTAACAAAAACTTAAAAATATAAATTGTAGAGAAATATTGTACAAAGGAGATAGGAAAACGAATCTTCTGAAACTTCTCGTGCGTGTCGAAAGAATCCAGCTTCTAATTCTTCTGATCGAATCGTCGTTCGATGCGTTGAATCATACCATATTTCGGTCCAGCAAGCCGCCGAGCAGAAGATCCGGACCGATTTGCAGTAGATTCGTGGCGGATCCGTCGTAATCGAAGCCATCGAAGGACGCCATCGCGGACGTCGTTGGTGAAATTATGGGTGTCGTTCCTCCACCATCGTCGCCGCCACCGGTGAACGGCCCGATCAAGTGTTTTCGGGTGTCCGGACTGAGATGATCGGGTAGAGATACGATGTTGTCCGTGTTCACGCATTGCGGTACTATCTGGTTGTCCACGTTGACGGACAACGGGGTCATCAGGTTCTTTGGTAACAGGATTGGCGTGTCGCGAGAATTCATGAGAGGATCCTGAAAGAGAAAGAATTAATTAGAATTGCCTTTTTTTGTATATAAGATATGTTTGAAAAGATGCAAAATGGATAAATTTTTATTTTTCTTATGAGAATTATTGAAGATAATTAAGTTTCAAGAATATAGTTAATGATAATTTATTACATTAATAATAATTTGTTATATAATATATAATGTAATTCTCATAAAAATAAACATTCATCAAGAATTTGCAGCGCATAATCAATAATAATTGCAAAAATAATAAAAATAATAATGAAAATTATAAAATGTTCTCTTTGAATAAGTTTGACAGTGATTAGATCGAAATATCTTTTTACATTTAATATTAAATGAGCGCCTAATTTTTAGATATTCAATAAATGGATTAGTTTCTTGCGGTCGATTTGATATCGAGAAGGATATTGCTGCGTTTCGTGAGAGGAAAAGATTGAGGAAAAGAAAGAATTATATGATTGATAATCAACGATACAGATTTTTTGACAAGTCTTTTTTTAAGGGCTCGAGGCCCTTCATCGTTCATGCAACTCTAGAGATCTTTTGATCGTGATGAATATAAATGAACACGATTGTTAAGCAAAGCGACCGTGACTATCATACATTACGTGATCTAGAATGTACATTTGGTGTAAATAAGTCTCATATAGATCGCAATGAACGATAGTCATCTTGGGAATTGCGATTCCCCTTTCCTATTAAATAAATGAAGAAAATGAAAATAAGATATACCAATATATATCCAATAATTGATATATAATTAATTAATATACTTTTTCTTTTTTCTAATTTCTTGATAAATAAACGTTTGGAAGTATTTTTTGATTTATGAAATAAAAAGAATTAATTAATTAAAATTATGAAAGAAATATAGATAAGACAAAGAAATAAGATGAATTGATTTTTGTTCCAAAATATATCATATTTTCTTTTATTTCGAACATAATTGAATATTGAATATTAATTTATATTTTGTTTTGCATATATATCCAAATATTTTTTATTCCTTTTCATTTTTATTTCATTTATATATTAACTTTAATCTTTTGTAATCAAAAGGATAATCTTGAAAACAATATTAAATCATATAATTAATCAAATATATAAAGATGTGGTGGTCCTTGATAGATTCGATGATAAAATTGTAGGACGACGATGGATGTTGAGGGAAAATGATGGGAGGAAACGAAACGCAGCTAATTAGGTGATTCGATGTTCTATGTATTTTCCAACATTCAACAATTCCATATACTTTGCAATTTGTGTACATAACGTGATTCTAAAGTACCATTCGTTTAATCTTAGAATGCACTCCAAAAAATAACGCTTTATATAATATATATAAATCTCTAACAAAATACATATACGATTCTAGAAATATCATAGTAAATATCAACTTATAGTTCTTTCTCTCTCTCCTTCTCGTCACATACATTAGTTTTTTGTTTTTATCTCTAATACGAGAAAAAGCGTAATTATCGCCTAAATTATATTCTATATAATCTGTATCTATCATATCTAAGATAAACATCGAACGCGCAGTGCATTTTAGGATTAAACGATCGAGCGAAACTACCTCGCTCGCTTATGCCTTCTTTTCGACTCGCAACAAATTCAGTTTGCATTTCTTCTTCTCTCAACTTTACGCTTTCCTCCTTTTTCCCTCTATGTTGCAATCTCAAATGAACTTGCAAACGCAGACTCGAGAAACAAGCAAACGTATAAAAAGTAGGAAGAACTTTCATCGACTTCAGATGATGATCAGATACTAACTCGCCGCCTCTTCTGGCCTCTCCCGTCCAGATCTATATTTTTGATCTTGCAAAAATCGATTGCCAATCTTGCTTCGAATTGCATATGAATCTTATCTATATTGCTTTCCGTGAGAATTAAGTAATAACGCGACTTAATTGACTTCAGACAATTTTTGTAACATAAAACATCTTTGTTGAGAATATTCGACGAACGAATGCATCGACACATCGCACGAATGTGAACACGTTTACATTTATCGAATATCTATCTGGCGAATAAACACATGCGTCGTTCGTGATCAATGATAATCTCATGTGCTTGATCTCGATTCAAAATTCTCTTTATCGAAGAGAACATTTTGACATTTCTGTGCTCGAAGCACAAAATTGCGATTGGAATTACACGATTTTCAAGCGAGAAGCGTCTTCAATTGCTAACGCGAAGTTCTCTCTAAACGGATTCTATTAATCTTCTTGGAGAAAACAAAATTTTCGGAATTCCGAATATTTTCGCTACATCATCGGGAGATCACTTGTCTCGCCTTTAGGAGAATCAACAATGACAAAATAGTGGCTAAAAATAGGCGACCCTTCAGACTTTCGAAAGGCTTCATTCCGGAAGCGCTCTCACGCGTTCGCGATACTTCTCGCCGTCGATTTCGGCTTCATCAAGCAAACGTATCCCGCACTCACATCGCAGCCAGATACCAGGAGATTCATTAGCACGCTGCTGCCGCCACAGGACGGATTCCGGTTATGGCTCGTCGTTCCAATCCTATCTAGATCATCGTTGACACGATTTCTACTTCCGTCTCCTCCCCCGTGATCGCCCTCCGCCTCAACAAAGTCGATGATGTCATTGAGAACGCGGGTGCGTTGCTTGGAAATATCCCCGCAACGACGCTCATCGCCGCCGTCGTTGGACGAGGATGTTGTGTGCGCCGACATGCCGCATGATATCTGAGGTGATACGAGACGACGTAGAAGCTGACTGTTGCAAGTATTGTCGAGACTCGGTTGCGCTAACTTTTTGTAGAATGTCATCGATGGTCGCTGTTGCTTCATCAACAAAGTGCCGTCAAAATTTGCAATGCGCTCCATCGAGTCTTCGCATTTGAGACGCTTATGCTCGCTCTCGAAGTCCGCGTTGAGTCCGGAGTGAATGCGTTTATTAGGACGGTCGTTCCGTTCCTGGTTAGAAGACCATCGAGCGGACTCGAGGGCTGTGTCTATTAAATTAAAGTGAATAAAAATAAAAGTTTTATAGATGATGAGAATAAAGAATATAATTACACACACATAAAGAGACGTGGAGACAAAGTATGTGAAGAGCGACAGATTGGAAAAATGTGCACTTACTTTTCTTGGATATTTGTCCGAAAAGCGGATTCATTAGACCTCCGCCGTGATCGTTGTATCGCCGTGATACTGCTTGATCGGTTCGTAACAGTTGTGCTAAACTGCTCTCAGATCCTCGCTGCTCTCGATCATCGAGTAGCCTGCCAGAGAAGAAACAGTAAAAATGTAAACGAAATATTGAGTAAATATCGAAAGGAGTAAATAACAATAACATCATGTTTATTTCACTTATAACTATTAGGTTTTAATGTTATCTTCTAAATACCATTTCGAAGATCCTTTATCGGAGGACTGAGACGGGCTCCACATGACCATTTCGTCACTGATAAGCAGCTCCAACGCCTCATCTTGATCCGACATCGGAATATAAGGTGCTCTGAGGGCTAGCTCGTCGTCTCCTATACTGTCGCTGATACCTAACATAAGCATCTCATCCTCGGAGAGCCCATCGCCACCGCTACCTCCTGTAGGACTGCCTAACGAGTCCACGCTGCGCTCAGGACTCTGTGAAATAACCATATTGTATATCAATAATATATTAAAATAAAAATTATCGTTTTATTAATAAAATAAAATTATTATATCGATATTCTAATAAACAACAACAAAATTTTGAATATTTACTATTTCTTCTTTAATTAATCTAGTGATACATTTCAAAGATTTAAAAAAAAATATAGATTCTCTTTAGTTTTTCGAGGACCGGGATTGCTGACCTGTCGATATTTCGATAGGGATGGCGACACGGTACTCGAGTCGATACCACAGGGACTTCCGGGCGAATCGCCATACATGAAGGGGTCACTATCGGCCAGGCGATCGGTCGTATTCTTAGTTCTGGTAGTACTCGTCAGATCTGCCTCCTTAAGAGACTCCGAGAGATCCGTGGAACGTAATTCTGGCGTCAAAGTGTCGCCTGGACTCAGCAGGGGACAACCATAATTGTCATTGCCGAAGATAAACTCGTCCAGCATTTCGTCTGTTAAGAAGGGAGTGTCCTCGAGGGGTACACATACGTCGCCAGCCGTGGGCGCGAGGTGCGTCAGGTCCTCCGGCTCGTCCTTCAACACTGCAAAATGCGAAAAGTGCAAAAATGGCATGATAAACTATGACGAAAATTGAAGATCTCAGCGTAAAAACCAAATATATAGTACATCAAATTATTAGTTTCATTGACCAATTTGATATTTTAAATTCCATTCTCGAAAAAATCGAATTAAAATATCCGAATAATAAATAATATAAATAATAATATAAATATAATATATAAATAATAATAATAAATATAATATAATAATATAATAAATATAATATATAATATAATAATATGATAAATATAATAATAATAATAATATAATATAATAATATTATAATATAATAATAATAATAATAATAATAATAATAATAATAAATTAAACAATTTAATTTAATCAAAAATAAAGAAAGTGAAATAAAAAATAGAATTGCAAAATATAATTGTCTTTGATATCTCAAATCAAATAGAATAACATATTTATAGGTCACACATAATATGTTCTATTAGAATGATCAATAATTCTCAGTTATCTTACACGTCATCGCTCTCTTTCACGAGCATGTGCTTTCTGTCTTTTTCGGAAAAAAATTCGAACATATTATCCGCGGATGTCCATAAAACGAGAGACAAAAACCATTCCGAACAAATCCGTAATAGTTGCCAAGATGTTCGATCTCCCTTTCTGGCCTTTATTTGGAAAAAGGGTTTGTTCTGACGAAAAATACGCACTGGTAAGACCCGGCTGATCCTCGCTGAAAGTCAGGAAGCCCTTGTTCATGTCCTCGGTGCGAGGCGCGAAGATACTCGCTGTAGCCGTCTGCGGCGGCGGTCGGCACGATAGCTGCGGTTGTTCCTGTTGCTGCTGTTGCTGTTGTTGTTGCTGTACGGTGGGTGCGAACAGATGTTTTGTAACCGCCTGTGGATGATCGCGACGTCCGGCACTATCTGAGGAATCGCGCTCCACCGCCGGTTTACCCTGAAACCGAAGATTGCATGATCGATCTAGAGGGGAGGAGGCCAAGGATGCGTTATTATGGCTCGAGATAAGAGCGATAGCCATCCTAGAATTTGCCACATCGGCGCTTAATCGTGACTGCAATTGTAATATTTGGATTAACAATTTTTCAGAATGCCCGATATTTTTATATAATTCAAAAATTAAGAATATATATTTAGATTCTCATAATTAAAATATTCATCTTCTTTGAAAAATTGTTATCAAATATCATTTTTATTATATAATAGTTTTATAAAAAAATTACTTTTATAAAATATAATATATATTATTTTTATAAGAAATTATTAAAATATCGTGCAATAATTATATATAAAAAAATAAATAAGGCGTAAAAAGATATGAAAGATTGAAATATTTAAAAGTTTAATTTTGCGCTTTGACAATTATCCGTCCCTGTAACGAATTTCTTCTTTTTTCGAGAGAATTCGGTTACGTCATTTCAAAATACGAAAGATTTCGATGCCGCTTATTTTTACTTTATCATTCTGCAATGATAAGAGAAGTAAGCAATGGGATTACGGCATCGATAAGCAATGGTTGCCCAAGAAAGATCTCTAACAAAAAATAATACAAGATGAAGATTTAGAAAAAAAAAATTAAAATTTGTTTTTCATATATTTTATACACATCTTGCGATAATGGTTACAAACATCATATAATAAAATAATCAGAATTTATAAATTTAATTGTATCTTTGTGTTGAGACCAAACGACATCTTGTGATTGTACGTACAAGCATGGAAAGAGTTGCAATTAACAAATTTTCATAATTACAGTCATTATCTCAACAGAGGTCTGTCAGATTTTATCTTAATATTATCTTGATATTAAAAATTTAAAGTCACTGTGACGAATTTTTTTTTAGCAAAGTATCTGCTCAAATATTGAGAGAAAAAATTTTCTGAGTTTTCAGATATTTTTATCCAAAATTCCAGATAAAGAAAATATTTTAAAGATTTTTTTTTATGCAACTTTGTAAAATAAATTTTTTTATTATATGCTGGTTTTAATGTTTTCCACTTATAAAAAGAAAAAAATACAGAATTTCTTAAGTTTCAAATGCAAGATTTGTATCCTAAAAAAACCGAGTAAATTAAATATTTTTCACATGTATAATATTTTAATTGTTTCACCACTAATAATTATAAGTTAAATATTACAAATAAGATAAAAATTAAAAAATATACTGCATATTTAATATCTGATCAAGACACACACACACATTGAACATATAAAAATATAACATAATATAGATAAAGATAATATCGATAAAAATTATCAAAGAGAAATAATTTTAAAAAATCCTTGAGTCTCAAAATTCCATAGAAATTCCTTGTTTTTCTAGAGAGTAGACATTCTAGGATCAAGGATCACGTCAATTCGATCTCTCAAAGATCAGTCGTACCTGGAATATAAAGGGTGTTCTCGCAACTGCTGGTTGGCAGTTCTGTCGATCTGCTGTCGGCTCGTCGTTCTCTTTCAACGACTCGTTGATCGAGAGATCCTTGAGAATTCGCATGCACGACTTCTTCTCCTGTGCCTCTTTCAGTAAGGCGTCGTCCTTTCGCGTGTCGTCCCTTCCGTTGGCCGAACGGAAGATCGACGCGGTGACGGCGAGCGGTCGGTCGTCGCCTCTTGATTCGTCGTCGACGGCCGATTCCTTGGAAATCTCGTCGTCGGTCAGCACCTGACACGAGTCCGACGTCGGTCTCGTAGCAGCGATCGCCAACGATTTCTCCGGCTTCAAATCGGTGCCGCTGTCACGAGCGACCAGCTGGCGCACGCTGTATATCTCATCCTCGTGTTCGATCCCACTGTAATCAAATTCACGAACCACCGGCATAGATAATGTGTCCTTGTCCTGGGACTCGTTAATCCCGAAACTTGACTAACGATCATTTGGACCGATAAAATTCATCGAGAACTTGTGAAAAATTCGAAAAGAAATATTTTAGAAAAAAATACTGAAGAAATATTTTATTAAACTTAATTATTTAAAATGTAGTCCTATTTAATTTAGAAATAAATTTTATAATTTTAGAAATTCATAATAATTTTATAATAATTTTAGAAATAAATTTTCTTTTAAGAAGAGAACATTAAGACACACAAGAGATATAGGATTGCATAATAATAATTAAGAATACATATATGAATAAAGTACTCAAACGTAAAAGTTGCAATCTTTCTTGTAATTATTATTTGTAATAATAAGATGATAATAAATCGAGAAAAACGAATATTTTTCTCAAGAATTCCCAGGAATAAATTTTAATATAAGAAATTAAGAGGAACAGAAAGGAAAATATATTTTACGAGTTGCGTCAAGTTTAGGGTTAATTATCGGACAAATAGAGCATATGTGTATTATCTAAAAATAATCTTTCTTGTTAATGAAATTTAAAATGTAATAAAATATAAATGTAGTAAAGTAGAATAAATGGGGGAGAGAGGAGCTTGAAAAGAAGAAGAATATCGAAACAGAATACTAAGTGTTTGTTTGAACTTGACTTACACGATGGTTTTACACGAGCTGATAAATGTTTATCTCACTATTCTCACTGCAATTGTTCTAATTGCTCGAAGCACAAAAATATATAACGTTCGATTTCCTTAGTTCCCTCTCATCGACTAACGAAGCTGTTCTTATCTAACGCCGATACATCGGACGATACATCGCCTTACGATACGTAGCGATACGTAGATGCTGTTGTATTTATCGCCTCTCTCGCGGAATCATGACGCGTGCATGCATGACACGATTCGAATACGACACGAAAATGGACACTCGTCTCACACGAATTGTTCCGTATGTACCCACGTGTCTGTCTACGAAAGCATTCGCTATCATTCGACGACGTGTGGGACGTACGGACAGCTGTCACGAGGCACACGTGACTGTAGAAGTTTAAAACGAACTGTCAAACGAGATATTTAAACCGGAAAAAACATCTTTCGAAAGCGACGTGCGAAAAACGAACTAGTGACTTTATAAATATTTGTGTACTAATGATTCTTCAAAAATATATACTAATTTAATAATTATTAATTCTCCAAGGTAATAATAAATAAATATAAGATAGTTATACGTATGAATGTGGAATTTAAATATGATAAAAAATTAATAATTATAATTTTTCAACAATTCTATAATGGTTATAGATTTATCAAATAAGCGTAAGTTATTTTTTTAAATTATAAATAATATAATTATTAGTTTCTTATAATAGGCAATTTTAATAAGTTAATTGCGACAAATTTAAAATTCATGTCATAATTTAAAATAAAGATGAATTTTGATCTTTCTTTCAGAAATTCACTCGTGAAATTTCTTCGGAAACACTTTACAATTTTGTATCGATAAAAATATAAACAATTCTATTTTGTAAATTTATATACATATATATTTGTATATATTATATATCGAAGTATTACATATATTCTTTTTTATATATTTTTTTATCTCTCAACATTTCAATTTATGTTAAAGCACTTTTATCTTTGTACGTTCATAAATATGTTTATATTTGAAAACGAGATAAACAAAAAGAGATATATAAATTTATGAAGAATTAATCTCTTTTTTATATGAATACAAAGCTTTGGAAAAATAATAATTTTCAAGGTAAATAAATATAAATTTAATAATATCAAAATTCACTAATTTTTTCACAATATGGATCTATTATGTCATGTTACTTAATCTTCAGATAATAATAATTAAAATCAGCTGATCTCTGCATTTAATTCTTCTAAGCTATAGAAATCTTTATCTCTTGATTATGCAATCGTAGAAATATAAAATAATTAACAATTTCGAACATAATTTCGGATTTAATTTTTCTCCTGTCTCTCAATTAACTTGTCTCTCAATTAACTTGTCTTAACTTGTCTCTCAATTATCGTAGATGTTAATTGATTGATGTGCTGCACACGCATATCATTATCTTTGCCACTCTCATGAGTTCCGAATTATCTAACATTCACCCAGACTTTCTGACAATCGTTGCCCTGTATTCTCTATCTCTTTCTCTCTTTCCGCTTATTTGGATTTTGACTCGCTCTCATTTTCTTTCTCTTTCTCGCGCGAAGCAAAAGCTCGATGTAATCACGAGAAGCGCTTATGTAACTCACGGCTCGTGACCGTCGATCGGCGGCTTTTTCCGCGCGTCGCGCACCGCCGCGGCCATTTTCCGCGCCTTGTTTTCGAAGCGTTTTTTTATCAAATGCCTCATGAATGGAACGTGACGACTATCTTTTCCGACGAAGAGAATTTTCCGAGAGACGATGAAAAACATCGTGTAAAATTGGAGTATAATTGCTCCGAAAATCTGACCTTAAATTTTTATTTCGGGATTGACGAACTTCTATTTATTCTACTGATAAGAATTCGATGATAGGAGACACGCCTCGCGAGTTTTAAAAAAATCGTTATTATATTTTTTCGAATAAAGCGACATCGCAGCGATATGGCAATCTCTTACGTCATACGTGTTACATAGTCCATGCCATGTGTATGTATGTGGACATAGTCGTTATTGGACAGCAATTGATTCATCAATCTGTGCAAGTTTTTTTTATAAAAAGTATCAATCTCGCTATTTTTAAACGCGATTGTGACAAAGATTATAATGTTACATATCGTTTTCATGTAAATGAATTGAAATGAGAAAAGTAACATTTTTAATATACGAGAAAATATTAGTGAAAAGTTAAATAAAATAAGTTGTGAAATGCAACAGCAATCTAATTTTCTGCGATTTATACATTTGTTCAAAGAAATATATCCTAAACGAAAAATATAAAATTTTTCAGTTTTTATTTCTTACATTTTTCTGTTTCTTTTAATAAAATAGTAAACGAAAAATATATCAGCAGCACGTAATTAATCGTTCAATGCCATGTTTCTTCGGCATAATAAAACGAACTCGCTTACGTAGGCACGATTACTATATCTATAGTTTTCTTCGATCACACAGTTAAAGTTAACCTGGCCTTAACCCTAAAGATAACCCGGATATATATCGGTTTAAACAACACAAATCATCTGCATTCGTGCACGATTTTAAATCTTCTGGCCATATTGAGCCTTACAAGCTTCGAATACTTCCAACCTAAGTAAATGGATATTTTTTCCTAATTTTTCCTAAAGACTAATTGTGCAAATAAATTATATCGCTTAAATTATTTCATAATCAGAGAGAAAATACAACGAAGAAAATACATAATCAGAGAGAAAATACAACGAAATTAAGTTTCTAGAAATTCTCAACCTGTTGATCTTTTTACATATTTTTGAATAAATTAAAAAAAATTCTCTCATAAATAAATATTTATTAAATTTATAAATATTTATTAAGTTTAAAAACAAATATTTGATTCCTATATAAAAAATATCAAATATCATATATACAGAATTAGAATTGATTATGTTTATTGACTATATTAAACTAAATTATCTGCCTTCTAATTTAATCATTGACCAAATTTTGAGAGAAAAATTTTTTTTAAATCTACGTCAAATTTAATTTAGCATTTGCGACGAAATATTAACTCGAGGCAAGATATTTTCGGTCATCATCTTATTAATCCGAATGTGAGGATTTTACGGATCTCTTTATGCGCGCTTTTTCGCGATCGAGGATCCGATGAGAGTTATTCGTCGCGGATGATTCGTGCGCACGGATCTACGCGGAGGCTAAGTGACTTTAACCGGTCGCAACAGTCCGGTAATTGTCGCAAATTGACCAGCGGATCCCAAATGCGCGTATGTGGTAGTGCGTGCGTACGGATCGCGCGTAAATCACGTACGCGGGCATTCAGCTTCAACGCAAATTGTCTGCGAACTGAATTTGCTCGAATTAAGGACTGAATGAGCGAATACATTATCTAAGCAATTCGCAAAAATATAAAAATGAGTGATAAACAGCGCGAAATAGATTTAACAGCTTAAATATACATGATAATTGGTCAAATGAGTCGGATCTTCAAACAGATGTCGATGCAAATTACATACATACATAAACAAATTGCATACATATATAAGCAAATTATGGAGTCGTATGTGTACGATCCTGCCTCTTATTCGTATTTCAACTTGTCACGTACTTTTATGTATGTGTCACGTACGCTTGTCAATCTTCTTCCTTTCTAAATGGCATACTAAATTGAAATTAATTATTCTTTCACAATCTTTTTCGTTCATAAATCGTTAATAATCCTTACTTCGTTTATATAAAGCTTCTGCGCTTCGCCTTTTCTTGCCAGAGAGAACTCGCATTTATTAAGTAGATTACATTTATTCGCTCTCTCGATTGGTCTTAATTTCACCAAGGGAGCTTTAAAACGTTGTATCGTTTCTTACGCGATAGAATTTCTTTGCGTAAAAAAATATAGTCGACGATTTTGAAGCGAGACGCAAGTTGATGCACTTTCGACTGCGTTTAATTTTTTCACACAAGAATAAAATATTAAAGGATAATTAAATATTTTTACCCATGGATGAAAAAATGAGATAATATAAAATTGAATTTTTTGAAAAGTAAAATTACCGAGATATATAGATTTAATATCGAAGATTATGGGATCCATGAATTAAAGTCTAAGAACGAGTACGATCTTTCCATGAGAAAATTATGTTATTAAGATAAGTTATCGAGACGAGTTGATGCACTTTCGACTGCGTTTAATTTTTTGATACAAGAATAAAATATTAAAGGATAATTGAATATTTTTATTCATGGATGAAAAAATGAGATAATATAAAATTGAATTTTTTAAAAAGTAAAATTGCCGAGATATATATATTTAATAT